GGCCCTTCCCTCCCCCCTCCCTTTCCACCATAACAGACTTACCTGCTGCACACAACTCTCCACACTACTGGGCTGTGCTCCTCACTGCCTGAGTACTGTGCTGTGGCTGCGTGCATGCACAAACATTTTGTGGCCAAATTATCGGCTGTATCGAGCTGAATTCTGATATAGCCAATTTTCTTTATATTGGTACCAATCCAATATCAGACCAATGTATCGGTGCACCTCTAGATCTAACTTTATAGCTGGTTGGAGCTTTTAATGGCATGATAGGTACTTTGCATGTGTAGCTGGTCTCCAGGTAATTGTACAATTAACCAGTTTATTGCGGAATACCGATACCTGTAATATGTAGAGGGGACCTGAGAGAGCAAGGTTTGGCTTTGCAGCAGGGGGAAGATCAGACCTCTGACTACATAATCTCAAATAATAGGAAAATGAGTGTAGCAAGATGTGAGAAGAGAATTTCATAGTGAAACCAGCTGCTAAAAGAGGCTGTGACTCCCTTGCCTCTAGTTATTTTGATGGTGAAACATTACAGTCCACTTCAGAAGATAGTTTAGGAGCTGTCAAAACACAGAGGTGGGACAGGGAAGCCGTTGATAAGCCAGAGTCTTGTGAGTTGAATTTGCACCATGTCGGGGCTGAAATGGTCACATGACATTCAGACCTATTTTGCCTGACCACAAACTATGAGGCTTTCCTGCTGCTTCAGTGAGATGGGCATTACATTGTTAGGAAGAAGGGCAATGGAGCAGAAACTACAATCATGCCATTCATCCATTTTATCCAACACATATAAAGTGCAATGTGCGGAGAAGCCTTTAGAACAGGGGCGGGCAATTATTTCGGGTGGAGGGCCGCTTACTGAGTTTTGGCAAGCCATCAAGGGCCTCATGGCAGGCAGCCAGGGGCAGATAAATATTTATTTTCTAAATTTTTTAGGGGCTCCGCGGGCCAGATAGAATGGCCTGGTGGGCTGCATTTGGCCCACAGGCCTCATGTTGCCCACCCCTGCTTTAGAACAAGGGACAGAACACCGGCCCTTTCCCTTCCAAGGCACTGCTAATTTCAGTGAGCCCATCCCTGTGGCTTGTTGTCCTCCTGGGCCCACACATTGTCTCTTAGGTGCCCTGTGAGCCTCCTCCAAGAGAAGTGCTGGAGGTTAGAGCCATTTTCTGGGAGGTAGGCGATACAGATTCAAACTTCCTATTAATGCAGGTGAGTGACCTGCATTCATCTCGGTCTTACCATTTCCTGAGTAACTGGCCTAACCTCTGAACTGTTGGACTATAAAATAAGAGGGCCCTCTTTGCCACGCAGCTACCTGCCTATCCACATGATCCTAATCCACCACAGGCAGCCTTCTGACCGGGGATCTGAAGAGAAGAATAGTACAACTGCAGCCATATATGCAGAAATAGAATCTAAGTTGTGTATAAGTAGCACTTAGGTTTATAAAGGTGAAATAGGATTTGGCCCTTATTGTTTAGGGAGCAAGGAAGTAACAGTTTCATGTTTGTTTTAAAGCATATAATAAACATACTAAATGAGTGGTGAATTCTAGTTTCAAGGTGTTGAATCAACTTTTTCCTGAAATGGCATGTTTTACAAATCGTGTTTGGATTGAAGGCAATTTCTAGCATCTTTCCTTCCTTGTGACAAGGTATTTAGCAGAATGTGTAGATTCATTAGAATGGCCTCAAACTTGCAACTGCTGGGCTGTCAACAATGCACCTGTGCCACTCCAGCCCCTGCTTCTTGACCTCTGACTCCATGAGCCAAGTACCTGCAGCATCAGCAAGAGTATGTTTATATTGCAGATAAAGATGTGCCTGTAGATCATGGAGACATACCTAAGATAGTTGTAAACTAGCTAGCTAAGGTATTGGTAACAATG